AGATGTTATGGTTGCAGAAAAGTTTACTTGTGAAGAGTCAAGAAGAACCCAACAGGTATTACTGTCTCTCTACAGGATAAAATCATTCTTTAAGACAGTTTATTAAACAACTAATATGAATTATCACCAGAAAATATAAATTCCTAACATTATCTTTCTATGTTCCATTATTACAAATACATATGCTTTGTGATTGAGTACAAATTTCATTGTAAATCTTATGCAAATTCCAACAAATTTGTATTTGTTGGAAGTAGAAGTTTTTCATTGTTGTTTTGAGAGACTTTCATTCAGTTTCAAAGCTAAACAAATTAGTAATGCTGAGCAGGAATATACTTTAATTCTGAGCTCCCAAAATCTACTGATTTAATTCATTACTTAGATGTATCAAGTTAATTACCTTCAATTATTACTGAAGACACTCATAAAAATCATAATATATTTTTTTGGCAATCATAGTTTTGAGACATTTTTTGAAAGTGGCACCTTTAGTTGAAATTCTGTATGTAATGTTCACATTAAACTTTCAAGTTGTAATTCTTGAAAGATCTAAGGCATTTATAATTATCCAGCAAAGGCTTTAGCCAGTAAAATTTCATTACTGTATTTTCCAGCACCAATATAGATATATGCTCAACAAAAAGTAACCCTGTGCATTGCAATTATCAAGGAAGTATATTAGAATAATTAAATGCAAATCTATATGAAAATATACAGCGATCTGGGCAGGGGTTGTGGCTCAGTGGTAGAGTGCTTGCCTGCCATGTGTGAGGCTCTGGGTTCAATACTCAGCACCACATAAAAATAAATAAGATATATTGTGTCCATCTACAACTAAAAAAGTATCTAAAAAATATACAGTGATCTGAGGATGAGCAGGAATGCTTTCTGATCACTTTGTTCTCCCCATTTATATAGCATATCAAGCTGGAAAACTAAATGAATGAAAAATATTATGCATTTCTTTTGATCCTTTTCATAGAACTGAGTTAGAGTAGCTCATTAAATAATTGTTTCAATAACTTGAATTTCATTTATACACCTTCTGAAAGGCCATGGTTAGGAAAAGCAAAAGATGACTGTTTCTCCTTGTTTGTCATATACAATGTAGAATTGAGCAATAGTTTAGGCTTGACACCCCAATAGTTAGGTAATTTCATTTAATGATTGCATATTGAGGGAAAGAGTCCTCCAAGATACACTGATACAGTTGTAGGCTCTACTGGTATTAATTATCACATTTGTCTCATGGTTTATCAAAGTGGATGATTAGTGTAGTGTTAGCTGGGGGGGGTGCTACTTGTGACAGGGGATCAGGGAAGTTGCTTATGAGCATAATCTTTGTGAACTGACTTGTTGGAATGAGTCTTGGCCTCCAAGATTGTCTGACTTGTGTGGCATGTAGAAGAAATGATAAGGACTAAAATAAGGTCCTCATTCATGGCTATTATAAAATGAAGACTCAATCATGCTGAAGGATGGGGTATAGACCTTCAAGTAGCAGAGTTGTGTAAGTTCTAGCATAACAACACTAATGAAATTATATATTTTGAATTTCTCATAAAAATTGTCTTTATTTCATAGGTAGCAGAGAGGCATTGAAGTTTAGAGGAAGTGGTTAGAGTCAACCTCTTCTGTTGTTTATTTAAAATGTTTTTTTTTTTTTTTGTGGAAGTGTAAAATATTTGAGAAATTTGTAATAAGGGTCAAATGAAGTATAGTAACTTTGGAAATGTGAGAGAATGAATGGGGAATTTCTTTTCATAAGCAATGGAGGTCCACTTGGGGAATAATTGAGAATGTGGGAAAACTATGACAAGGTTTCTAACATGAGTGACAGGGTGGTAGCGCTATTCCTACTGGTGTTCTTCCTGAGTGCCTTGTGGCAGACCTACCTAACAGTAGAGTGGAAGGCTGTTCACAACGTTAATGTTGGGGCTGGTTGTGGATTTTTTTATTTGCTCAATGTATAGGAAGACCCTTTTTTCCCTTTTCTCTTTTCCTGTTTTTCAATTAGGATATTGGAAATGCTGGTGTTTTTAGTAGAAAGATTGTTAAGTAATGAGATAAAAATCATTTCTATATTCACCAGATTTGCCTAGTAGAATTAAAATGGGGGCTTTTTCTAAAACATCCTAAGAGAATAAAAAACTTTTCATATTGTGACAGCTATAGACAATCATTTCAATCTGTATCCTAGCAGTGACAGAAAACATGAATCAAATATCTTTTATGTGCTTATCAAAGTTAAAAAAAATGGTCATTAAAAGGATAAAAGAGTCAGTTGCTGTGGTGCATGCCTGTAATCCCAGCAGCTCAGAAGACTGAAACAGGAGGATCACAAGTTCAAAGTCAGCCTCAGCAACTTATCGAGGTGCTAAGCAACTCAGTGAGACCCTGTCTTTAAATAAAATACAAAATAGGGCTGGGGATGTGGCTCAGTGGTTGAGGGCCCTGAGTTCAATTCCAGGTAACAAAAAAAAAAAAAAAAAAAAAGAGAAAGAATAGAAAAGAAAAGGACAAAAGATAGGACAATGAGGTCTGTTCATGAAAAGGGTTTGTTAAGAGGAAAGCTGAATTTTCAGCAAAGGAACAGGGGCCTCATGTTTCCCTTCTTCCTTTTTCTAACTTTTCTCTTTCCATTTTTGTGGAGATATATTTATGTACACCTATAAACTAACACAAATCATTTTATTTGGAAATAAGTATTGTATATAAGGCACTTCCCAGTGTTGATATATATCAAATACTATATATATCATGGTGATTTTCTAATTTTGCACTTGACCAAAGACGAAGTTAGAGCCTAAGGACAGGTTGTGCATGAAGCTTCAATGGTCACGTTGACAAGGAGCTTAGAGTTCACTGATAAAGCCAAATGCATCCAAAGAAATTATCTGGAGGGGTTGGGGTGGGAAAACATTAGCAGGAAATAAAGAAGGAATTATCACAATGTTATCAAATACTTACTATACATGTGTAAAACTGAAATTGTGTTCTGCATTTAACTTGTTTCTAATCTGTTTACTGTAACATAGCTTCCACCAGGACAGGGATTTGGGGTTCTTTATTCAGTGGCATGTTTTCTATAGAAAGTACTTAATGAATATTTGACTAATGGAATAAATATTAATTAAATTTCACATTTGCTTTGGTCATGACACTTGTTACAAAGGAAATAAGCAAATAATGATAATGAAAGTTACTAACCCTAGAAGTGTATCATTTAAACTGGTTAATGTGGATACACATTTCATATAATAGATATTTAATAGAAAAAAGTTATCATACTTATAAAGAATTGTTTTTAAGTTATACTTTACTTTTGTCTGCCTCCATGAGTATGAGGTGATCATATAAGGCTATATGAAAGTAAATAAATGAGAAAACAACTTAGCAGAATAGCAGAATTGACAGCAGTAATAGAGAGCTTGAATGAGTGTGTAGATGAATATTTATAGAGCTATTTCATTCCTCAAGAAGGGGATAAAATGGAGTGAAAGTTTTCTTACATTTTAGCCTGCCTTTTATCTTGGTACTTGCTGGAGTAGCAACTGCTTGTTTTGGAAGTTCAAATATTTATAGCTATATATATATAAAAAGTTATTTTTTGAAATGCTTCAAACATATAGGAAGATAAAAAATATAATGAGTACACAAGTGCTTGGCATCTGTAGTGAAAACAAACTTAATGAACACCCAATAATTCCCACCCACATTTAACAAACATCATAATTTTACTTTTTGATTTTGTTTTTAAAAAGAAATGAAATACGTTAGTTTCAGTTGAAAATTTGTTTTAACCTCCTCTATTCATAAGTGTATTTTTCATGAGATGGCAAAATAAACCTTGTTATTTTGACACATAAGTTTAAAGGAACTTTCAAGTTCAGAGATGATACTATTTCTTTTCAAAATTAGCTGCTTGAAAATAAAGAACATTTAGTTTGCCAACTAAATAGTTTGTGCTATGGGAAAATGACCCCCATATATTTATTTTTTTTCGCCATTCTGTACAAAGAACTTGAGTTTCCAACTATATATATTGATTACTTTGGGTTGAGAGGATTGGATTGTGGTAGAAGTTGATGTTCTAAATTATTTTGGAGATATTTAAAATATTCTGTGATAAGCAAACATAGTTTGAAAAAATAAAAATTATTAAATATGGGTACTTTTAAATTACCTTCTAATTTATGGCATTAAATTCAACATCTTTTCATAGTTGATGCAATGTGAAAAGAAGAGTTATATATGTTATTATTGTATATGTTATATATAATATATATACACATATTATATATGAATATATCCCACATATTCACCTTCTCTCCCTCTTGTTCTAGTCAAATGTATATATTACTTTTTTAATATTGCTTTTTTAAGTATACTCATAAAATTTATAAGAGAATTTTTTAAATAAATAAGGCTATTTATGATAATTTGAGGGGATGCCAATTTTTAAATTTATTTTCTTTGGAGGGAATATTCTTTCTAACCTAGCATGGTTAACAATTTTTGTTTTCTCATATTTAAGTATGTTAACTTGATCAGGGAGGTAATAGCTCTACTAATTTAAGAAACTAGCAATGCTTTCAGAATCTGACTAGCCTACTCTGAGTTGTATAACTAAAAACCATTTATTGAGCCATAAATAGAGAAAACATATATCATAATTGACTAAAGGAGTTTAATATGGTTTTCTATTTCTGGGAGTAATCAGAATTTGAATAAATCATAATAACAGAATTAACACTGGAACAAAATTAAACATGTCAATTTTTACTTTTTATTTTCTTTAAAACATTGTTCTTTGGTCTCTGAGTTTATTAATTATGTTTTCATATAATTCAACATTTTATATAAATAAGGTGGCATATGTTTTATATTTTGAATAATGAGAGACATAGTTTGAAATGGTAACAACATATTTTTAAAAGATTTTTTTGTGCTTTCACAGTATTATTATCTCAGTGACCATTATTTTGTATTATTTTTAGGTTAAAGAGTGGCTCTGTTTAAACTGTCAGATGCAAAGGGCTCTAGGAGGCGAACTGGCTCCAATTCCATCATCACCCCAGCCCAAACAGAAGACTGCCCCTGTTGCTCCTACAACAACGAGCAAATCAACCCCACTGCCACCGCAGAGTTCCCCAAAGAAGGATGCACCACTCAAACAGGATACAGCAAAGGCCCCTGAGTCGAAAAAGCCCCCACTAGTGAAACAACCAACCCTTCAGGGCTCCCCTGCAGCCCCAGCCAAGCAGCCGCCTGTGGAGGAGCCCTCCTCCAAGCTATCCCTTCCCAAAGACCCTTCTGTTCCTACAGCTGAGCAGGTCAAAGCCTCCACAGCTGAGGAGAAATCAAAGCAACCCAAGACCATAAAGCCACCTGCAGACATTCAGTCTTCAGCAGAAGGAACAGCCAGGAAACCTGATGCTCGGATCTCCCAAGTACAGGCTCAGGCTCCAGAGAGCACAGCCCCTCCAGTGAAAACAGACTCTGCCAAACCCTCTCAGAGTTTTCCACCAGCAGGAGAAAAAGTTACCCCATTTGATTCTAAAGTCATGCCTCGACCTGCATCAGATTCAAAAATAATTTCACATCCTGGGCCTAGTTCAGAAAGCAAAGATCAAAAACGAGTGGATCCAGCTCAAAAGAAGGAAGAGCCTAAGAGAGCACCAACCAAAACGACCCCTAAACCAGATGCCAAGCCTGTGCCAAAAGGGTCACCGGCACCCCCTGGCCCAAGACCTTCCACTGGCCAAACTGCTCCTGCATCTCCGCAGCCCCCCAAACCTCAGGAGCAGTCGAGACGCTTCAGTCTGAACCTGGGCAGTATTACTGATGCGCCACGATCACAGCCCACAACTCCTCAGGAAACTGTGACTGGGAAACTCTTTGGGTTTGGAGCATCCATCTTCAGCCAGGCATCAAATTTAATTTCCACAGCTGGCCAGACTGGACCTCAGCCACAAGGAGGGCCCACAGCCCCAACAAAACAAGCCGCTCCCCCACCCCAGCCCCCAGCTTCTAAGGGGCCACCCAAACCTGCAGGCCAGGCACCACCTGCACCTGAAAAGGCCATATCTGTGAAAAAGGAAATGAGAGCTCCAGTAGCTGAAAAATTAGAGCCCAAAGCTGAACAGGCTCCAACAACCAGAAGAACAGAAACAGACAAGAAGCCCCCACCTGTTAAGGATAGCAAACCTTCAACAGCCGAGTCCCAAAAGTCTGTCCTTCCAGACAAGTTGGAGAAAACCACCAAACCCAAACCAGCCTGCCCTCTCTGCAAAACTGAACTCAACATAGGTTCTCAGGATCCTCCTAATTTCAACACTTGCACTGAATGCAAGAATCAAGTGTGTAATCTCTGTGGATTTAACCCGACACCCCACTTGACTGAGGTAAGCAATGTGTATATAAGATGTATGAATGCACAGTTTATTTTGAGATATTTTGGGGGCAAATTTATGAGCAAAAATATGTTTCTAGTGGAGAAAACAAATCAATATTGATACATTAGAAGTTTTAATTATTCCTTGCTTAATATACTACGATTCTCCAATTATTAGGACTTTTATGGGTTAATACACTTCAAGTAAGAAAATGGAATAGGTTGATATTAAAATAACAATGATCCCCATCCTTCATGAATCCAAAACCTGTATCTTAGGAGGACTATTGAGTTTTCATGTGTAAACTGCAAATAAGGGTTGTAATATATCATTCTCATTTCTCTAACCTTCTACTCCCTTTAATATATTAAAAAAAAAGTTGGTCGCAGAACCCACAATGATACGAAGTCTGTTATTTAAAAAAACTTAAAAATCTGGTGTAAATTAGTAATGTTACCAAGTAGAAAGTAGTGGCTCAATTATATCTAGGCTTTTTATGATTCTGTTTGAGATATTATCTGGCAGCACCTAGAGTACTTTACTAAGAACTGTGGAAAGGGAAAAGATGGATGGATTTCAGTGACTAATGTGAAGATATGTTTTCTGGGATGTCAAGAATACTTTCTCTGCAATGTCTATGACCAAAAAACAGATGGTACATCTCTGCCTAATGTTGTATTTATAAAAGAAAGAGTCTATAGGCATTAATAGCACATTAAGGCTGTTAGAATATGTGATTTTTGGAATCTCAGGGGATAAATGATCATTCTGGTGTTAGTAAGTAACAGCAATATTTTAATAAGCATTTTGAGAGTGAATTTAAAATAATTATTCATTGCTTTTGTCAAGTCAAAAATACGGAAGGACCATTTTACTCCACTGTATTTGATCTTGTAACTCATTGGAATGGTAAGACCAAATAGACTAGCATCTTATAGGAAAAAAAAAAAAAGCTTTAAGTTGTCTTTTTTTTTTTGGGGGGGGGTGTGCATTAAATAATTATTTTTGGAACAAACCATAGAAAATTTTTATTTTGTTATTTTAAAAACACATTAGTATGGTTTGACCTAGTTAACACCATATGAAAGCATTTTCACTGCAGGCTAAAACAGATTTTTCTCTTCAGCTATGATGAATAATGTTAACTAAGATCCATTTTAAAAGTAGATAAATTTTAGTTTCTGTTAGCATGTTATGATGTTATGAGTGGTAACAACTATAATTATTACATACAGCATTTGGGATTCAATATGAAAACAAAACAAAAATCAACATTAAATTTCTTTTATATTTTAGAAGAATAGCTTTTGGTTGTATGTTCATGATGAGGAAAATTTCATTTTTCATTTTTTCCCCAATACAACTGCATTTATTCTAAACGCTTAAAAAAGTGTACCCTTTAATGAGGAACTTTATGCTATCTATACAATGCAGTTAAGTAAAATAGTTCTAAATCAAACTGTACCACTGAAAAAAAAACTATATACATATTTTTAAATATTTGAACACTTTTAAAAAACGTGTGCCATGTAAGGGGAGGTCTATAACTTATAATTTACACATCATGCCTGTGCATGCATATGCATATGCACATGCACAAGGGCATGTTGGGATCATCGTGATGCTTAGAATTCTGTCAATGTTTGGAAGAATGAAATGAGAGCCCTCTAGCTAGAGAATCAATGAGTCTTCTAGGGAAATCTTTGATTTTCTGTGTGTTGGTAAATTATACACTGGAGGTGGTAATTTGGGTATGAGATTTTTTGAATGATACAGAAATTAATGAGGATGTGTGGAAAATCAAGTTTGAATAATTTCAAAATAAAAATTGTCTCAAGTGTTTAGACCATTTAGGTGAGGTCCTATTTTATATATGGTCAGTGGGATATATATATATATATATATATATCTATATCTATATCTATATCTATATCTATATCTGTATCTGTATCTATCTCACTGTTCAAATTCTGCTCTGCTGTCAATTCTTTGAGTTTGGAAGATTATATTTCAGGAGGGAAGGATATCTTATGTAACAAAAGAGTGTTCCTTGCTCACCTTGAATGTTCTAATAATCTACATGAAGTTTTTAGTTAGCTCAAGGCCTGAGCTCTAGCTTCTAGTAGAGTCCATTGGCTGATCTGGCATCATGGGAGTAAATCAAGATTGGTTGCCTTTATATTATCATCACCCTAAAGGACTTTGGAAGAACAGCAGAGAGGTTAATTGAAAAGAATGGCACAATGTGGGGGCTGGGGCTATAGCTCAGTGCTTGCCTCCAATGTGTGAGGCACTGGGTTTGATCTTCAACACCACATTAATAAAATAAAATAAATAATAATAAAGATATTGTGTTCATCTACAACTAAAAATATTTTTAAAAAAGAGTGGCACAATGTGCATGTGTGTGTTCATATGTGTACATTTACATATAAATATATACATATGTGTACATATACACATATGCATGTGATATATAAACCAATTCTAAACATCATTTATAGGCTTAATTTGTGCTATGATTCCAGTGTTCATGCTGAAATACCTTTTATTTATCTCATTTAGGAGTTAGGGAAGCACTTTCTTCTTGATTCATATTTTGTTTTATACTTTCTAATTGTGATATTTTTAATGAGATCCATTATTTTCTGCAGGGCTGATTACTGTACTTTCATGTTAGTTTCAGAGAGAACAGCCTGAAACTACTCAGACTTTTATGACTGAAGTAGAAATCTTATTTCTCAAGAAAGGATTTGGTGATTTCTGTTTATTTTCTGCTATGTTTGATTCTATCCTAGCCTCTACTTCTCTTAGACTAGTCATGAGGCAAGAAGTCATTCCTTGCTTGTGGCATCTTGCACCTCATCCCTTTTTGTTGTCTCTTCCTCTGGTGGTGAAAAGACTCCTTATCCTTTGCTGTGATTTGGGGAGCTGTAGATAATGTCCCTCTTCCCTCACCCATTAATCCAACTCACCTGTCTCTAAGGATGTTTTCTAGTCCTGGTGCCAACATCTCCCCTTGCTGCTAAGTGCCAAGAGCTGCCTGCAGGCCAGACTTTAGCCAAAGTTATACTGCTTGATGCTCAGTTTATATAAATGGTGCTATAAATCTGTTAACCTTTGATAGCATGAGACAATTCTTTTAGGCTTCAATTTCTGCCAACTCAGGGAATGTTTTGTCTTGGAAGGAGTTTTACAAGTCACAGTAGGGCTTTTTGAAAGGGCTAGTCTTACAAAATCTGAAAGCATAGTGAGAAAAACAGTCCAAGATGGCAATTAATTTACCTAGTGAATTTTAATCATTCATTAAACAATTAAAATGCTTAAAGGAGGCTAACTTGGGGTATTTATTTTATTGTTTTTGACATCCTCTTTTTAAAGTAACTTTTGATTATGAAAATAAAATGAAATATGTTTCTCATGTTTCAGGAAGTCCTAGAATCATAATTTTGCTTCTTAGCAAGATAATTGTGCCTGGCCTAAACGATGTAGAAATAGCTGGCATATATTTGTCACTAGGCAACAAATGAGTCTTTTGGGCTGATTAAGACCCAGTGGTGTGACTGAGTCCCTTCAGATCTTTGCTCTCTGGCAACAGCAACATCTGCATTTTCTATCAAATACTCAGTACGTGGCTTAGTGGGGATGTGCTGTGTTTCTTAACTTGGCAAAAAAACATATTATCTTTCTTTTAATGAACTTTACTTATTACTTTCAAAAGTATGTATTAATACTGAAAAGTATTTAAGAACACAGGCACAGGGGTGCGCAAGCGCGTGCACACACACACACACATTAAAAATGAAAGGCTAAAAGAATGATCAAAAGTGAATTAGGAGAAGACAGTTCTACTAATTGTTTCAGAAGAATTCCATAGTGGAAATCTACATCCTAGATGAAAATTTCTGCATCATGACAAAGAGGGACACTTGAAGGCACTTTTTGACTGATATAAAAAAATTTATCCTGTAGTCTGTTGAAAAATAAAAATTAGTCATTAAGATTTAGGAGAATTTTGATGTTAAAAGTGATATTTTGTTAAAATATTCAAACAATTGATTTAAAATTGAGATTATTTTTGTTTAATAAAATTTGAACAAAAAAGAAAATTTCCTAATAATTCTTATTTTTCTAGGCATTTTTACATATTATACTCTATATGGTATTTATGTATCTTAATCAACATATAACATTTCCTCATGTGATTAAACAACTTAAAGTTATTTTAAATGATTATTCTATGGATTTGTGTTTCATTATAAACATTTTCTCCTTATTAGGAATTTAGTTTGTTGTCATTGTTTTATTATTATGAACAAGTTAAACTGTTTTGAACATAAATATTTGTATTTTGAACAGTTTCCCAAGGAAAGTGTACTCATATTAAGGTTACTAAATCAGGATAAGGACCCTGCTGTATCAAATTCTCTTCAGAGCTGTGATAGCGGTTGGCATTGCCACCATTCATGCATGCGATTTCTTTCTCACTACTGCCTCTCCAAATGTGAAAAATATCATTTAAAATAACATTTGCTAATTTGGAAGTCTAAAAATGCTTTTGTTTGATTTGTATTTCTTTGCTTCCTGGAAAATTTTTATTTTAGACATTAAATGTAAATAGATGTCTCTAATCTTGATCCAGACAAAACATTGAGCAGACAATGTTTAAAAAGGTAAAGTGCTATCAGCCATGCTCCTTTTCTTTTTATTCTAATGGGGCCACGTTTGACATTGTGAGAGGCCTTGTGCAAAGTTTTTTCTCTCAACCACTCTCTGAGATGGGTTTGCAGATTTGGAGATTAGTAGAATGAAAATCAGAGCTAGGTGCACTTTTCAAGCCACAAAGGTTTAACTCAGAGGCTGTCAGTGCTCTTTTTACTACACTATATTTAAATAACCTAAGGAACTAGATGACAAATACTATTTGTTCTATGCTGTCTTAACTATAAGTTGTGTCATTTGGTAACTGGTAGGATTTTAGTACTAACAAATTTGTAAATATGTGCATC